ATACTGCAGCATGTAGGTTAAATATATTTATACATAGACCAGATTATACCAGAATAGAACAAACACATGTTTAAAAACGAGGCTTTTCTTTAAAGTCAATGACCCAAGAATCTAATTATTCACAGGAAATGGGTAAAAATAAGAAATCACAGCAGAAAGGGAGGCTATTATTTCATAGCCTCCCTTCATAGGTTTCATATTTGTAGTTCCGTGTGTTATGTATATTCACCTAACAGAGCAACTGTAACGCCAGTAGGCAAACTAAGCAAAAGAAGGAATTATTATCACAATTTCATATGTGGGGAACTATAGCACATTTCTTGCCTGTGGTCACTCACATGCAGCATGTGGCCAAGTCACAAATTGAACCTTTTTTCCTATGTTGCTGACAAATGTCGTAAATAAAACATCCTTCCTCCAAGTCTATGGTAATAGTAGTATTGCATTATCCAGTGTAATAAGTCTGACCACACACCCAGTCCTCTCCATTCTTTCACCATTGTTGTTTTCCTAAATGCAAACATCAGGAAAGAAACTTCCTCATCCCCATAACTCCCCCCCCCCTTTTTTTTTTTAATTATTTCACATTATCAATGTGAACTTCTGTGATGTGGCCAGTGAAGGATGCACTTCTGGGCTGCATCCTTCAGCAGTGTAAATCAGTGCAGTGCGACAGAGTAATTTACCTGAGCTACTGTTGATCTGAGGTTATATCCCAGAGGATATCAATGGCAACCTCTTCGAATTAATAGATGATTTTTTACTTCTATGAATCAGCTTGTCATTGTTTGACTTTTTCCAGTGCTGTTTAATCAGAATGTCTTCCACTATCATTTCATATTCCCTGTCTGGGAAGGAAGCATACAGACTCTATTTTCCACCACAGCTCCGCTATTTTGCCAGCTCTTAAAGAAATGGAATTTGCAACTGCTTGGAAGGACATATCAAAGGAGACAGGTCTGATCATGACTGTCACTACCAAAAGTTTTTTTCCTGTCACATACTCTCCCCAAAGCTTTATTCTTGCAATGACAAGAAGTTAGAGCAATCTCTTCTCACATTAGTGAAGACTGGAAAGCTGCTTGCCCACATGGCAACTGCAGTTTGCTGAGAGCACCACCAAGCACGAGGTGCAGCATGACTAATTTGTTGTCTGCCTATAGCATCCCCAGTCCCAGATGTGTTTCGTGGCCTTTCTCCAGATCCCTGAACTTGGACAGAAAGGAAGAGTGTCAGATACTGCTTACCTGTGTTTAATAACTACCACTTCTTACCATGACTATTTTTCTGTATTGTAGGACAACCTCAATGGTTAGTGCCTCTAAATAACTTCAGGAATAAGTGTAGGATATGAAAACTATGCTAAGAACCCACACAACAGAAAAAGGGGAAGAAAATATGAGACAAACTTCAGTCATGTCTTCTGAACTTGGAAAATTGTGAACCTTTCTTTTCCCCAGAACTGTCTTTTCTCATTTTTTGTTTTCCTCTGAGATGCTCAGCATATTTCTCATCTGTATTACTTTTGGTTTCCCTTCACCTGAAGTCCAGTCCTTCTGCTTGCATTAAAACAAGAGCTGTGCCCAGTCTTCCTTCTCAAGAGCGCACATTTTCTTTTATATTATTTGCAATACTGTATCTTTAAAAAAAGTTTCAGTTTCTTGACCTTGTCTGCTGAAAACTTTATTGCTTTTCTAACTCAGCTTCAAATTAACATAACTTTTTCTTCATTTTCTTGTTTATGTATCAGTTTCATTACTGCTGTCACACAGCTCTGGGGACAGAGCTAGTTAACGGCTGCATCTCGACTGCTGCAAATACAATCGCATGTTCTGCCCTGGGATATATGCGTGTAATTCCTGTTGACAATGCAGGGAAAATCAATTTCATATGGCACTGAGAACTGCAACCACTTATGGAAGGCAGCATTTGACTCTTAGGGTTACACGGTCATTTCTAATTTGGTAGAAAGTGGCACTACATTATTAAAAATAGAGAAATATAAGGATCACAAACCCAACCAATTCATCCCATCCACAGGGCCACAATTTCCAAGTGCAGAATTGAGCCATTATCCTCATATCATGCGTTTCTGGCCCATCCATCCTTTGATGCATACAGGGATATACACTTATATAATGTAAATTCAAATTCTTATCCAGCAAATATTGGCTTACCTGTTCTAACTACATTTGGCTTATCCTAATTTAAAACCAGCATGGATTTAGTTCTCCACTTCCTAGTTTCACAGAGAATGCTCACTCATTTACTGTAAGTGAAAGATGTCTTAGTCTGACCTGGAAGGCTGAGAAACCAGTGGTCATGCCCACTGCACTGCCAGGGCCAGTGCTGTCAGTCTGAACAAAGCGCAAAGAACAGTAAAAACTCAAGGTCAAGGACGCTCTTATAAAGGTTCTCCTGGTTTTACTGGCAGTTATACCTCTATAACTGAGGAAAGATTGCAGGTGCGTTTTTAAAGGGAAGAGGTTGCCACCTATTTTTCAGATTTTTTTTTTCTCTTTATGTTACAGCCTTGTCATTGGAAATAAAGGCTACATTGCCTACAGTTGGCTTTCTCTCTCTATTTTTCTGCACAAGAATTTGACCAAATTGAGTGCTGCTTTTGCTGTGTTGGCATCTGTTGCAAGATTTGTAATAAGTACATGGTTAGTCTGTACTCATTAAGTGAACTTATAGGCAATGGCATACTTGTTTAAATATTACTGATGCACACTAAAGAAATCTCCCTACCAGTTGTGAAGTACAGTGTCTGGATGGCTAACCACTACTCTTAGCCTATGTACAGAGCTTCAAAAAAAAAAAAAAAAAGAAAAGAAAACAAGACTGCCAAAAGCAGAAAATTTTGAATACCAGCACCCTTGAAAAGTAAGTTCATGATTAAAAAATTAGTTCAGTTAGATGAAAAAAAGAGAACGGTTGAGAACATTTTCCCACCTAAACATGAATGCTGGAGATAGAATAAGATTGCATTAAAAAAGATTCACCGCAATTATGATGAGGGGAAACCTGGGTTACAATCTATCCAATGGTGTCCTTTTCATTCACCAGATTATGAAAACTTCTTTAGCTAACCACATATCACCCTGTCTGCATTTGTTAATTTATTTATTTTAAAATACCTACATTTCAGAAGGGCTACTTTCATATGATTTTCAAAAAAATTTCAAAGAAAATATGTCACTCAGGCACTATTTTACTTCTATTTTTTCTACCACCATTACTGAAAAGAGTCTCCCACTCTATCCAAGAACATTCCTGCTCACCTAGCAATTCAGCAGCTGTCATGCCCAACACTATACTATTTTTTAAAATCTGGTTCTTACTCAGTTAAAGATGCTTAATATGTAATACTATAATGACCTAAGAATATAACCATATAAAATGACACAGAAGATGGTTAAGTCACAGCAGAAGAGAAAGGTAATATTAAGTGCTTATAGGTTCCAAATTGTGGTCTTCATGTTTGTCATGCTACTTTTTGAATGATAAATTTGCTTCTGCAAGTATTGTATTTCACTTGACAAATGAGAACGCTTTATTATTGCCTTGATTAAAAACAAAACAAACCCCAAAACTACTCATCATGCCCATACTGCTGACAGACAGTATGTGTTACATGTGTGTAGTTGTTGCAATATTGTTGGGTTTTCCTTCTTTTAAATCTGGATCTCCATCTTTAACATGCATGTGCTGGGGCTATAATAAGTATATTCCTATGTTAATGACCCTCCCAGACATCCTAAGAAGTGGGATTTAATCTCAAAACATATTTGTACTTGCATGTGCACTTCAGCTGTGATGTTTCTCAGCACCTTCAGACAAACCTAATTAATCTTAAATCTCACATAAATGTAATGGGTTTTATTTTCTGCATACAGGTAATAATTTTTTAATGCTTTTCTCCACCTGCCTTTCTAATCAGGGATGAATAGAACTCCTGAAATTAGGACTTTATATTTATTCATCTTCAGCTTCCAAAAGAAAAGGGAAACGCTTGAGCACCTTTTTTTGGTGGAGCTTTTCAAAGCTCCATTCTTTAATGTAACAAAAGAAAAAACATACAGTAGCATTCACAACACCACAGCTTTCAAAGAGCATCCATTCACTACCATATAAATAGCACAGTAAATTACTCAGTTTACCTTCCTCTCCCTAACATTCCGATGTCAAGCCTGCAAATTCAAAGGTGCACCCTTTTTTTGCCCAAAACAGAAGCTCCATTTTTTGGGCACCAAGAAATTATTTTATAAGGGAAGAATAATGCAACTTCAGTCAATTTTAAATGATATATTGTCTGTCAGCCAAGTAGATCTGTTCTGAAAGGAATGGCCCTGACAGTTGGACATGGCTTATGTTACTCTGTTTAATTTCATGTCTACCGCAGAAATAGGTGAATAATGTCAATAGCTACAAAAATGATTTTAGAGGTTTCAGAATACTTCAGATATAGATACCATTGACTTAGGCAACAACAAAAGAACACGCATGCAAGACAATACGAACTTTCAGTGTCACGCTTGCTGCACCTAAACCACAAAATTTCCTAGTTTATATGTTTCCTCTGTTGCCCTATTGCATTCTAAACCCCATGGTATTATTATATAAAGTATAATACTGTGAAATATGAGGCAGATCAAAGTCTCTCTGTTGGACATCAACTTAACCAGCCCAGAAAACTGGTTTTTTCTTTAAATTTGTGCTTTTTAAAACTGCAGAAGAAAAAAATTAGTATCTAGAGCCACAGTATGAGAACTACAACTTTCAAAACACCATGCAATTTCAGAAATTAATTCAGCATTAGGCAGTTCAGTTTCTCAGCGATAACTTGAAAGACATGAACCAAGCCACAAATCTATTTACAGGAGGACTGCTTCATCTACAGTCCTCCTCTTCACACCTTACAAATGCCCTCAGCACCATTAATTCAGATAGTCTGTTGCCACTAAGAAAACAGATTTGTTCATCTCCACCCTACTCACATGGCACTGTGCGGAGGTAGAGATTGTCTCTTATGATCTGCTGGAGCTCATGGTCTACTGAACCTTTCTGGAACCGTAAATTGAGGTAGTGACGAAGGTCCTTATCAACAACGCCTCCTGCCAAGGAAAAGACAAATGAAAGCATGATTTAAAAATATATTGCTTTGACAAAAGCAATGAATCACTTGTAAAGTCTCAGTGGCTCATTTTCCTTCGTGTTTCTGCCACAATGGATGACAGTAGCACAAAGAGCTTTCTGGTTAATGCATGCAGTTGGTATAATATTATTTAGTATTGACAATTGTAAAGGTTAAAAACAGTTAGTGACAACTAACTAGCTAAATCTGTACAGTTCAGAATATACATATAGGATTATAGACAGAGGTGTTAAATTTTTTATGCACAAAACTGGAACATATTGTTATTATATAACTACCTACTTATATATATCTAAATAATACATTATCAGGTATTATGTTCCCCATGACCTGGTACAAATTTCCCACCTGCTTATTAAAAAAAAAATAAAAAAATCTTAGTTCAAAATGTCTCTATAATGTTTGGTGTTTTCAGTCCAAGTGTAACTAGAATAAAATGCAGCTGTCCTTACTGATCATATAAATATGATATAATCTTTTGTGTTATTTATTTCTAACAGCACTCACATCTGAAAAAATACTATAGCAAATGAGGGTACATATTTTATTTCCACCACTGAAAAGAATCATTAGGAATACAACATCTCAGCATAACACTGCAAATGTGGAAAAAAAATTAAATTAAAAACCCCATATTTGCCACTTTTACTATAACTCTAGGACAAAACAACTTAAAGTATTTTTAAACCACTAACTGGTGTATCATGTTCCACTATTAAAGGCACACCTATAAATCTAATCCAACGTGATTAATAAACATTTCCCAATATAGTTACTCTACATTTCTTTTAACCTGGAGTATGGATCACCTTTATAATTATGGAAAAAAGTCCATAAATAACTGCATTTCTTCCTCCTCTGAAATTCTGACATGAGAAAAACATAGAAAATCATTACTACATTGAGTTCTGGCATATATTCCCGAGATGAAAAATTGCAAGTAGATAGATCCGTAACTTGTTGCTTCATACATTCAACCTTAAAACATTTTTTCAAATGGCATTTGCTATTGAACTCTCTGCCAAAAATCTTATTGACTTGGACTATGTAAAGATTTTCCTGTAAAAAGGAACAAACAGCATTCCTACCTAATTATTTGAAAGTCACTGCAGAGCACAAATAGCTATAAATTAAAATATATTTCTCCTTACCGCTATTCCTATTTATCTGCCAATTACAAATCCATAATCTTGTTATTGCCGCTTTTTGTCAAAAACTTCAAAATCTTTTGTTCCAGATTTATAAAAAGCTTATAAATAATTTCTCTCATCTTTAGCTGAAGGCAAAAACCCAGCAGACTTTAATAACCAAAAGAAGAAAAAAAAAAAAAAGCCCCAGCTCATAATAGACACAAAGAAATACCTGTGTGCCTGGTTCCCAGAAGCTGAGAACTTCCATACAGATCTCTGTTCTTCCAGCATCCCAACTGAGCCACTTAATCTAATCTACTACTTTGGCACCACTAACCCTGTTTCTAGCAACGGGTTCTGTTTGCAGAACAGACCATCCTTACTCCTGCTAATTTCTTATGAGATTTCAGAGGAGGAGAGGGCTAGAGGATGCTGCAGAGAGACTCCCTGCTCCTGATCACAATCTGCTGTCCTTTCTGATCGGCTGCAGAGAGTAAAGGTCCTGCAGCTCTTGCTCTTCTCGCTCTAATATACAGAACATGCCCAGTGATGCAGATGCTTTCTGGCAGCCTGCGAAAATGCCAGCTCGAGAACAACAGCTGTAGCCTGCCCACTGACATAAACCTGAATCATTCAACTTATGACATAAGTAAGTTTAGGAACCTACACAGATTTCTGACCCTCAGAAGTGCATTTTTTATTTACAGCCTTTTGCTTCAAACACAGCCATTTACTTCACCATGTGTTAACGAATGCACTAAAACCTCTTAAGCACTTCATAAAAAGAGTCACCTGATATTTTTGGCAAATTGCGTATTCCAAACTGGAGTATAAAAATGTATATTTACAAGAGGAGACACCTACAGCCTTGTATTTGTTACAAAGAGATTCAAAAGCAAAAGTTTGTAACAGAGATAAAACCTGCACATGTTGCAGAGGAAAAAAACTTACCAGCTTCCAAGCACAAGCGAAACATATGATTTTTTTCTTAATATCTGAGTATATACTGTAACATTAGCAAAGTCTATTTTAAAGAGCAGTCAGATGAACTACAGACAGCACATGTACAATTGACAAATTTTCTTCGAAAGTCATTCTGTTTTCTGAGCTAAGTGACGTTTTTAAATTCTTTGGGTATAAGCTACTTTTTTTTTAATCTGGTATAATAATGAATTTTACATCCTGGAAAGCGTAAAAAATAAAACAGTTTGAGAGTCCTGAAGAGCAGATGCAATATTTTTAATTCAGCCTTCTAACTGTCATGCTTTTCTCCCCTAAAAAGCTTTGTTGTTTTACCTGATGTTTGTCAAAAGCATACTTGACTCCACATGTGCTTTCCAGGTATTTATAATAGCTGAGTTTTGAGCAGCTGACTGTTTTAAAGTACAAGCAGAACAAAATCTTGAGTGTGCTAGTATAGGGCCATAAGACTTTTTGCAAGAAACTATAGTGATTCGCAAGTATGTAAACCAGCCTTGATTTAGCAGCAGTGAATTAGATCTTGTGTTACAGACCATATAAATCGAGAATAACACGAGTAATAGTAATAGGACTCCAAAAGGCTGAAATAAGAGACAGAAAGTATTATCAACTGGTTTACTTCGGAGGGAAAAAAGAAACTTAGTGACATTGTCAATAAGTTCATAGAAAAAGAAGCAATCGGAGAGAAACTGTTTTTCCGGGCAGTAACAATACTCCACCATTTGGTGGTCCCATCCAACCAAGTTAGACAAGTGACTGACTTGGTTTCTATAAAATTCAACTTTATTTTCTCTTTTCGCAGAACACTGAAAACCATTGAGATGTTGAAAAATTCCTGACATGAACCTAACGCCCTTGTTTTCTATTATTCCAGCCAGCCCACAGTGGAGGACCTTGGAACGACGCTGAGGGACCGCCGGTGCCTGCTGCACCGTACCGCTAAGCCCACTGCAGCCGCACAGCGGCTCGCGAGGAGCAGCTCGGAGAGAAGGAGCTCACGAAGGCCACATCCTGCTCACCCTGCATGGCAGCAAAGGAAGAGCCCTCGAGCCTCAGAGGTATTATACAGCGCAAGCTTTAGAAACCCAACGCAGAGACCATAATTTGAAATGTTCTCTGGCCACTGTCACCGGAGGAGGCTGACAACTGCGCGACGGAGCATGCACTGGCTTGCAGTCATGTGGGGCTTTTTTTTTTTTCTTTTTTCTGGCTTGAGGCCTATACTCTGTTTCAGTTTTATTTCACTCCAATGAATCCCATTGCTTTGCTAGCTGGGAAATACAGGACGTGAATTAAATACTTCCAGTAATGACCTCTTGCATAATGGATGACTGGTTTAGGTACAGCTACCAATCATGATGGCAAACTCGTAACCATGACTGAATTTGATTCCAGAGATTATAAAATTAGATACACTTGGATGAACTAAAAAATGCTCTGTTTGCATGTTACACGTCTGAATTTAATGAGCAAAGTGTATCTTTTTACAGTGTTTTAATGTATTTCTGTCAAGTTTCCTTCCCTTTATAATATCTAGTAGCAAAGTCCAATCAGAAAAGAAATACAATAAAGAACACACATACAAAAGGGTATTGAGTAGTTTGTAGTTCATTAGAAGATTCAAAACTGAAGACGATAATTGCCATTTCTAAGAAAATGACAGGGATAAAGGTTTATAATTTTCTCTAGCCCTAAATATTGTTAACTGTTTTTTTGTAACTTCCTATTTGGTAACCCACTGATGCTGCAGCTGGAAAACTCTTGTATTTTATTTTTCAGTGAAGGACTACTTGTAAACATGAACATCCCTCTTGCTGTTCCCACAGTGTTAGCTCTAAATAATTTATTTCTTACCCTTAACACAATTTTTATGGTTATAACTTCTCAACAAACTTTTTTGAGTATTCACCCATTAGTATTTTCTCATCTTGTATCATAATCTTTCAGTGAATTGACTTCCCCAAAACTGGTGTGGCAAATTACTTGGTTTTTTACAGTATAATCAATTGCATCTCAGCTAAGAATAATTTGCCTTAGATATTTTATTTGCTGGGATTAAAATTTAAATTATTTCAGTTTCTCTGGGTTCTATAAATACTCCTGCTTAGAAATATCTATGAGCAAGCAACACTCTTACATCTAGATTTGCATCTGTACATGACCTGTGTCTGAGGAAAATAAAGGAAATATCTTAGGATCTGTACCCTGTGAAAGCAGACAAGCTCATAAACTTTTAGTATAAACTACCTCCCCTCTTTTACTGCCCTACTTGCATCAATCTGTGTCTCCTCTTATTTTGAATAAGCTCCCACTTCTGACTGCCAAATGCCTTGGCTGAACAGGTTTTCACCAGCTTCAGTAGGACTATTCTACTGGAGAGTCTCACCCCAAAACAATTGAAAAGTTGTTAAACATAAAAGAATATTAACTGCCACATCCCCGCTTCTCTCAAAGTTTCTCTCCCCAAATGGTCCTCTCAGGAGAAGAGCGCCACACTTTTTTTTCCACAAGTCCAGTGATATTTTATTGTAATAAATTTCAAAAAAATATCTTTAAGAAAGCATTCATTAAAAAGGAATTGATGATTACCATTACTCATATGAATTGCTAGTGTTTGTAGTACAAACAATATTCTTAAAACAAATTAAGTATGTCTTATCTTAGTATGTGATTAATAAAGATGTCATGCATTTAACATTTCTGAACCAGTATGAGATGATTTGCTTTAATAGTTTCTTTAACTGGCAAAGGTAACCAAAAAAATCACTTTTAAGAGAGAATATGAAAATTCCAAGTAATACCAAAACTCTCAGTTGGATTTTATAAGGATTTGTTATTAAAATATAGC